AAGGAGAAGTGCCGGCGGAGCAGCTGACCCGGAATAGCTTCGGCGATGGTTTCGAAACGGTGATGGATCGGGAAAAAAGATTTACCGGTTTTGCGTTGAGATGCAGAGCCGCCGCCGCCATAGATGAAGGCAGCTGCAAGCTTGAAACTGTGAAAGTAGGAACTGGGACAGAATATGTGCTGTGGAATTGGCTGCAAATGCCAAATGGCTATGGCTTCTCTTTTTCCTTTCCTTTTCTTTTCGGGTTTTCGGGTACATAAGTGGCCACGACCACGACTTCCGGAGAGGACGAGTTTAAAAAACTCTTCTTTTTTTCTTAACGTTAATTATAATATGTCTTTAGATTTTAAATTATTTCATCTTAAATCACTGCACCAATAATATTTCATAAGTTAAATTACATATTTAGTGCGTAAAATTTAATAGTTGTATATATTTAGTCCATAATTTCTATTAGGATTTATTTGTACAATAAGATATTTCTATTATTACAGTCTGTAACTACTTGTTACCGTGGTCTATATCTCATATAATAAAGATGAGCAAGAGTTAATTTACTCTCAAATGTTAATATGGTATCAGATGAAAATTAAGTCACCTATTTTCTAAGAGTATACTTGTGGGACCCGTATATCATTTTCTCTCGTATTCTTGATTTTCCGTCGTTTCTCTTTCTTGCTCCCATGGCGCCCGAAGATCCGCTTGCTCCATCTGTGAATCCCAATCCTTCTGATTCCACGACTTCAACAGCGATTCCCGTCGGTACGCCTCAGGTACCAACTCTGGCGAATCATTCTTCTGCTGAACAATATGYCAACCCTTATTTCGTCCATCATTCAGATAATAGGAGTCTTGTTCTCGTCTCCGACCTTCTCACTGATGATAATTACACTTCTTGGAGCCATTTTATGACAATTGCTCTCACTGTCAAGAACAAAATTGGATTTGTGGATGGCTCAATTTCTCGACCTGCCAGTGGTTTACTCAATTCATAGATTATCTGTAATAATATAGTCATCACTTGGTTTTTGAACTCTTTATCCAAAGAGATTTCAGCCAGTTTATTGTTCACGACTCGGCGCGCGAGATGTGGCTTGATCTCAAGGAGCGGTTTCAACGCCAAAATCGCCCTCGTATTTTCCAATTGCGTCGCGACTTGTCTACGTTAGTTCAAGATCAGACGACTATCAGCACATATTTTACTCGATTGAAGACCTTATGGATATAGTTGGCTTCATATCGCCCTTCCTGCACATGTGGACGATGGTCTTGCGGCGGCGTACAGGCCATCTCCGATTACTTTCAGACTGAGTACGTAATGTCGTTCTTGATGGGTCTGAATGATTCTTTCAGCCAAATCAGCGCTCAATTGCTCCTTATGGAACCAGAGCCCTCGATTAATCGGGTTTTTGCCCTTGTTACTCAAGAGTCTCAGCAGCGTGCGATTTCTTCGCCGCCAATTGCTTCATCGACTGCTCTGTTGGCGAAGTCTTCTTCGAATTCTGGAGATTCACGATCTTCTTCTTCCAATTTTCAAGGAAAGAGGCGTGAACGCTTGTTTTGCACACATTGTGGTTTACAATGCCACACGATTGATAGGTGCTACAAGCTTTCTGGCTTTCCCCCTGACTACCGCTCACGGAATTCTTCTCACCAGAAATCAGTTTCATCTTCTTCTATGCCATCTACTGATTATGTCACAAAGAATTCTTCATCCGTTTCAGTCGCAAACTCTTTGGCTTCACTTAATACTAATCCATGTAAGAGCCTTTAGAATCTCCTTAACAGCCATTTAGCCAAGGCCAAAGATGGATCTGTTTCGTTTGGTGGTTCTCATGTGGCAGGTACATGTTCCTCCTCTTTATCTTCTATCATGGCTTTTCACTGGGTGATTGATTCCGGAGCATCAGCACATATATGTTATTGTCGAGATTATTTCATGAATTTACACTCTGTTTCTGACGTATCAGTTACCTTACCCAACAATTCTCAATTTGTTGTGGCTTATGCTGGGATATTCAATTAATCCTGATCTTGTTCTTCGAGATGTGTTATATGTGCCTGATTTTCGTTTCAATCTGCTGTCAGTTAGTGCCTTAACACATAAGACTTCACGTATAGTTCATTTCACTGCTGATTCTTGCGCTATTCAGGATAAGTTGTTGTTGAAGACGATTGGGAAGGGTGATTTTAGCAAAAGCCTCTATATTCTGGCACGGGAACAGCCCCTTGGTGTGCAGCTTAAAACCCCACACACTGTTTGTATGGTTTCTTTTCCTATCTGGCATAATAGGATGCGTCATCCATCTCTTAAACATTTAGTTGCTTTGAAGGATATTTTGCATTTCAATACTGATAGTACTACTACATTGGAACCATGTTTGATTTGTCCTTTGGCGAAACAAAGAAGATTATCATTTACTTCTCGCAATAATGTAGCTAATGCTGTTTTTGACTTAGTTCATTGTGATATCACTTATAAGTCTCCAACTCATACTGGTTTTCGTTATTTTTTAACCATAGTTGATGATTTCTCCCGTTATACTTGGGTCTTTTTAATCCGCCAGAAGTCTAATGCTTTAACAGTGGTTCCCCGATTTTTTCGTCTTGTTAAAACTCAGTTTGGCAAAAGTATTAAACAGTTTCGGTCTGATAACGCTCCGGAGTTGTCTTTCACTGATTTCTTTCATGAGAAAGGCGTTTTTCATCAGTTTTCGTGTGTGGGTTGTCCTGAACAAAACTCTGTTGTTGAGCACAAGCACCAATACTTATTAGATATTGCTAGGTCTCTCTTGTTTCAGTCTCGAGTGCCTATTCGTTTTTGGGGTGAATGTGTCCTCACAATGTGTTTTCTTATTAATCGCACGCCATCTCCTTTTTTGAAGTGGGACACACCTTTTGCTCGACTACATGGTCGTATTGCTAATTATTCTCATATAAGAGTTTTTGGTTGTCTTTGTTTTGCATCAACATTGACTTCTCATCGTTCTACGTTTCATCCTCGGGCCATACCGTCTGTGTTCCTTGGATATCCCCCAAGAGTTAAATGATTTCGTTTATGGGATATCGAGCATGGCAAGATTTTTATCTCACGGGATGTGGTGTTTCATGAACAAATTTTCCCTTTTCACAATGTTAATATTTCGGATGTGGCCGTCCATCCTTTCCCAGATGTGGTTTTACCCCGGGCACTGGATGTTTCTACTTTGCCATATATTTCTACTGAGTCTTTGGTTGCTCATCCTGATGTTTCTTCTGTTGATCATGTTCCCACTCATGGTGTTACCTCATTGCCTCCTAGTCATCATTCTATTGGATGCAAGTGGGTTTACAAGGTTAAACTCAATTCTGATGGTTCCATTGAGCGGTACAAGGCAAGGTTGGTTGCCAAARGATACACTCAACAAGATGGCCTTGATTATATTGAGACATTCTCTCCCGTTGCAAAATTAGTAAYTGTCAAGGTCTTACTCACCCTAACTGCTTCTTCTCACTGGTCTTTAGTGCAGTTAGATGTGAATAACGCTTTTTTACATGGTGATCTCATTGAAGAAGTGTACATGGATCTCCCAGTAGGTTACAAGCATGTTGTGGTTGCCTCTCAGGGGGAGCGATTGGTTTGCCGTCCTCATAAATCTATTTATGGTCTTAAGCAAGCGTCTCGCCAATGGTTCGATAAATTCTCTCATGCTTTGATATTGCTTGGGTTTCATCAAGTTAAATTAGATTACTCTCTCTTTACACGTGGTTCGGGTGATACTTTGTGGCTTTATTGGTATAGTGGATGATATTATTCTTACCGGGGCTTCTAGTTCTATTCTTGATGACTTGAAAGTTCACCTTAATGTTGTTTTTAAGCTTAAAGATTTAGGAGCACTCCCTTATTTTCTAGGTCTTGAGATTGCTCGTTCTTCCAAGGGCATTTTTTTGTCACAGAGACATTATTGTCTTCGGCTAGTTGAGGATGCTGGTTTATTAGCTGCTAAGACTTCTTCTTTGTCCATGGATCCTAACATTAAGCTTCTTGCTTCTGCTGGTGATATCTTAGAGGATCCTACTATGTATCAGTGTATTATTGGGTGTCTCATTTACCTCACTATTTCTCGGTCTGACATTACCTTTGTTGTACATTACCTCAGTCAATTTGTATCACAGCCTCGTTGCCCACATCTTGATGCTGCTTATCATCTTCTGCGCTACTTGAAAGGTTGTTCTGGGCAAGGTTTATTTCTTTCCAGTTTGTCATCTTTTCAAATTCGGGCTTTCTGTGATGCTGATTGGGCATCTTGCTTGGATTCGAGAAAGTCTACAACCGGGTTTTGCATCTTCCTTGGTGAGTCTCTTGTGTCTTGGAAGGCCAAAAAGCAAACCACGGTCTCTCGCTCCTCTGCCGATGCTGAATATCATGCGCTCGCTGCTACAACGAGCAAAATCATAAGGCTCACTTATTGCTTCGTGATTTACATATTCAGTTTCAACCACCAGAGCTGCTTTTCTGTGATAATAATGCTACTATTCACATTGCTTCGAACCCGTCTTTTCATGAACGTACCAAGCACATTGAGCTTGATTGTCATTTTGTTCGTGAAAAGATCGTTGAAGGCATCGTCAAGCTTCTGACTATTCGTACAGAACTCCAACCTGCATACATTTTTACCAAAACTTTACCTTTTAAATCCTTTTCTCTTTTGCTATCCAAGATGGGTGTTTTGAATATTCATCTCCCATCTTGATGGGAATATTAGGATTTATTTGTACAATAATATATTTATGTTATTACAGTCTGTAACTACTTGTTATTGTGGTCCATAAATAATGGTCATATCTCATATAATAAAGATGAGCAAGAGTTAATTTACTCTCAAATGTTAACATTTTCTATAGTCCGTAAAATTTGATAGCTTTTTGTCGATTTGAGTATTGTTGGGTAGACATTAGTTTTCACTTTACAAATTTGTGTGCAATTGCTTATCTAAAAATAAAAAAATTTTCCATGAAACTAACCGTCCTTTTAAGTCACATACCTTGGAGAGGCATTAGTTCATAAGGTACTCTTCTTACTAGATACGACTCATTTGTTATTCTTCTTTTATAATATTTGTCCATATTGATTTTAAGTTAATTTACCAAAAAATTATTATCATAAAATGTTCAAGACCTAAAGCATAAATATGACGAATTAAAATTAAAAGTATGAAAAGAATAGTTAGTTCTAGAGTTGAAAAAATAAGTAGCATGAATAGAAAGTAAAAAACTAGTTTTATTTATAATTGTTAAAATAAAAAAGAAATGATACATTTTTTAAGAATGCTGAAGATTTAGTGTGTATATATATAATGAATTGTTTCCCTTTAAACGAGAAAGGAGGAGGTGACAGTTAAATTGTAACTTTTTCTTACCAAGCTAATTTATACACAGTCAAAATTAAAAGTGTTGGGTTATAATTGGCTGATAAAAGATAAAATACGTGTTAGTGGAGCAAATTTTATTTTAAACATTAGTTGAAGTAATTTTATTTTAATGAATTATTATTTGCTAATGGTTAAAATAAATATTAAAAAGATTGATAAATTAAACATGGTTCCTTTTCGGAACAGGTTTGGTATTCTTAATCCTACAGGAATTGGGATTATTCTTAATCCTCCTGGAATTGGGTTCTCGATCTTTATCCAAATTCTCTCCAATCCTTCCTCTATAAATAGTCCATAGTTAGAGATTTTAGAAATCATCTGTTGAAATAGTTGAGTGTTTATCAGTGAGATTTGTTAACCAACTATTGTGATGGGCATGGAGATGGATTTGAGTCCGCAATTGGCGAAGAAGGCGTACGGTGGGGATGGAGGCGCCTATTACTCGTGGTCTCCAGCCGAGCTTCCGATGCTGCGTGAAGGAAACATCGGCGCAGCCAAGCTGGTGCTGAAGAAGGATGGCTTTGCCCTCCCTCGTTACTCGGATTCCTCCAAAGTGGCTTATGTTCTGCAAGGTAAAATTTCAAAAGACGAAAAAATGTCGAAGATATTATTATTGGAGTACTGTAGTATGAGTTGATAAAATGTTTGTGTTCTTATAGGCCACGGAGTTGTCGGAATCATTCTACCGGAGTCGGAGGAGAAGGTGATCGCAATCAAAAAGGGAGATGCGATGGCGCTTCCATTCGGCGTGGTTACATGGTGGTACAACAAAGAAGGCGCTGATGAACTGGTGGTTCTGTTCTTAGGCGACACTTCAAAAGCCCACAAATCTGGCCAGTTCACGGACTTCT